TCTATACGTTGCTCTTTATTTCCACGTTTTTGAAGGTTCTTGACCGTGCACATGCTGGTCGAGTGCTTTATGCATGTGACGATCGGCTATTAGTCGTTGTAAGTATGACAAGGAGTTCTGCAAGACAGGTATTTATGTTTCTTCATGTGAAAGTTCCAAATTTGTTTTCCACTGCCCAAACCACTAACCCATGTCCATTATTGATTCCGTCGTTAGCTTCAATTTGGCTTTAGTACAAAGAGTTACTCTTATTTGTTTGTCTGATATCAATGTGAATTGTTTGATCTCTCGTATACACTTTCTAGTTTTTAGGAAAAAGTAGGAATAAGAAGGTTCCGCTTCATGCTTATTGTTGCTTTATCATTTTCGCTTTGACAGTAATAGTTTGGGAAGCAGGCAGCAAATAGCAAAATCCAAGATAGGTTACAGATAAAAAGCATAGATCCTTTGAATCAGAGTATCTATGCTTCTTATCGTATCCTGAAGATGTGCTGAAACCTTGTCTATAAGAATGACAAATCACAGGTGCAACTGTATGACGCGATTTCATTGAAAGAGATTTACACGACGCAGATAGATAATGGTACGCAGCCACTAGTTCCGCACTATGATTTCGACTCTTCCGTTTTATTTCTAAGCGCTAAGGTAAGCTTCAATGTAGCCTGTGCTTCTTTATCACCATCAACTTCAAAAAATTATCACAGCGGTTGTAGGGTAGCCGAATCATAAACATGTTCGAAGTCTGCTATGATTCTCCGTACCTACTTCCGCTCACACCTTATATGGCACCAGTTATCGGTCAAGCTATTGCATATCACGACAAGCGACGGTTAGTTTATTTCTTGCGTAGCATTACTCATCAAGTATATTCTACTACCACCTTCTATCCCAATACCAATTTTTGTTAATAGGCTTCCAATCATTAATAATGAATGAACGGCATAAGAAGAAAGTTAACTGTGCTTTGTCTCTCATCTCTTCTACCAACAAATTTCCCGCTTTAGTTCTACTACTTAAGTTTTCAAATTATTCCAGTTGCAATGTTATGGCAGTCGAGTTTCAGCGCGCTTGGAGGTTGACAGAAAAGTCCCTAGAACAGTTGGTGTTCCGAGTACCACGGGTTAAAGTCAGTTTGCATTTTTATAGCAAAGCTGCGATTAGATATCATCAGAACATCGCTCACTTGATTTTTGCTATTTCTTAGATATTGTTTGACTATCATCTCCTGCCTAGATTGGAAGAATTCCTTAAGATTGTTAGCAGCCGTGTTGTTTTCAGAAAGATGTCTTTCAATCTGATCTCTTCCCTGACGCACTTGTGACTTGGCGACCTATCATGACCGGAAAAGAGTGGTTAGCGGGTAGTCAGAAGATTCCAGTATTTGAAAGTCTAAAGCCGGAGGGAGTCAGTGGCTTGGGTATGTGTTTACATTCCCGGTCATACTTCTGCTTCTAACTCATAAACTGTTCAGCACCGGCGAGCGATTCTGCACCTACACGACCTCCTCGCTTTTCGGCAATTCCTGAAATACATGATAATGATCACGATTTCAGTTCCGAACCAGATAAACGCGCAGTCAGTCTTATTGTTGGCTGATTTGAGTCTTTATTACTTTTCATCTCCAGTTTTGTTTTTAGGTGCAACTGAGCTGGTCAGCTAAAATCCCCATAGATACAACGCTAGAACAGGATCATATGGAGGGTGTTGCTGAGGAGGAATGGACAGAGTCACTTTAATATCTTAGAACTTGTAAAACTTGCAGTTTCAACTGGTGTCAAAATTTAAAGGGTTTCGAGTTTTTCCATTGCTTGATGTTGAGATGATCTTGTTAATTGTCAGTTGTGTCTATTAGTGCCAATATTCTGTGCAATGTATCCGCTGTTACCGGTCTTGAGACTTAATCTTAACAGAAATCAAACGGTATAGTCACCCAAATCAAAAACTGGAGTTATTTATTTCTAGTCGATTTGTGTTGCGAACGTATTTTGATTGCTCAATTTTGCCACTACCGATTCCGAAATAATGCCAATGAGTGCTTTAGCTTTTGGCAAAGTATGCATCTAAATAATAGAATATTCTTTGTCTGCGATTTCATGATCTTACTAAACACCTCACTTGTTGACCTATTCTCTTCAGAACAGTGTTCTCTCGCTGAATTCACTTCTATCAGTCTGTACATTCCATAGTTGTTTTATCCTTTTTTTCTACAGCATGTGAAGACGAACATTTTTGATGTTCCTGACGCATTTGCAGTGTTTGTAAGTGTACAATTTGCTGCTGAATCTAACGATTGGCATAAGAGCGATTTTTCGATTATTGCGATTATAAGGCACAAACTGAATAAAGAGTTTATTATAAAACGCGGGGGGTGGTCATTACTTGTGAGGGGCAATAACGCAAGCAACGCGCGGCACAGCTCAGACATCGTGCAGGCTCATGCAAGTGCTTTGACTCCGTACACAATCTTAAAGATTTATGCGATGAAATGAGACGTGCTATGACGATTGCTGTCTATAAATCTCAATAAATAAAGTGAAGAAGTCACAGAATTAAGTGAAGTATTCATGTGTCAAAATTGTATGAACCATTGAAATATGATTTCACTGGAAACTCTCACTTAATGCGATTTTCAGTGCGATTTTCTGATGAAGATAAAACTTTCCTCCAAGCATAGAAGATGTTCATATGTAGTGTACGTGGAGAGCTGCAAAATCTTGAAATCTTGACTGGACTAGGCTATTATTATGAGATAGTACCTCCCAATATAGCAATTCTACAAATATCGTCGGGATTACGCATAACAATAACGGTTTTTGGTCGTAGCATACATGGAAAAGTGTTTCCATCTTCGCTTACGCTGACACTGCGATCCACGAGCTTACATTGACAAGCGAGCCAAAAGAATCAGAAGTTCTTCAAAAAAATGTTTTAACTGGAGGGACTGGGAACATCGAAGAGATACTTAAAGATGAGAACACATTTTCATACTTTGAAGCGTATTCAAAAAAAAAAAAAAACTCGTTTTAAGATGGCGCTGCAGCCGCACCAGTCCCACTCAAAGACAGTAGAGTTGATCTCACTGATAACTACCAAATAGCATACAGAAGACTTCTATCGCTATGACAACACTTGCAAAAAACGAAAATCGAAGAAAATGATGCACTACTATTCTTAATAAGTACATAGAAAGAGAAGAGAACGTGATAAAAGTAGCCAATGATATCCCGGACTATGCGGACCTACTATATACTACATTCAGGAATTTGGCGTCCAAACAAATCTGTGCCACTACGCGTAATTTTGACGCTTCCTCAAAATAAAAGTCGCATTTTTCTCTTAACTACGTGATTTATGGCGATAGTTCGTAAACAGAATACACGATGTACTAACATCGAGTCGTTTGAACCAAATCAATAATGTTATGCGACATAGAAGCGGCATTTACGCAGATACGACCACATCATGCTCACAAGGACTTATGCAGATTCCTATGGGTAAGAGATTTGAATAACGCGATAACATCGTAGAGTGATAATGCACCCACACGCGATAATATCATAGAGTGCTGATTTACAGGCTCCAGCTTACTGACAGCTTCGCCGAGCATTCGGAATATGGTGATTCTAGCAATTAAACAAAAAAAAACACTCTGCTGACAGGAGAAATTGCCTCTCATCTATACGTGGATTATACACTCAACAAAGCGAATAGTGTTTAAGAGGGTTAGCAAAATACCGCGCATCAAAAGCAATACCGAAATAGGCATGAACTTGCGCGAGAAAATTCCAAATTTGCCCCAAGTCAATGCCGCTACACCAGAAAAAGACCGTTTGCAAGGCTAGTGATAAAATTTCTTGGTATAAAGTACGATACAGAACAGGGTGTCTTTACATTAAACATAGATATTTCCATCAAAAAAGGCTAACCAAACGTGACATAAGCCAGATAAACTCTGTGTATGACCCAATTGGAATGGCGGGACCAATATTGCTTGAACTAAAGTCACTAATGCGAGAAATCTATAGTAGATTGGAAAGAAACTATGCCCTTCCATTTAGCTCAGAAATGTAATGAAGACTGTCAGCAAATAAACACATGTAAGCTGACGCGGCGCGCTTTATTGACCCCTGATAAGGATACCGCCCGATTTACTCTATGGGTATTTTCGGACGCTAACAAGATGGCT